AACTGAAAAGACTACAAAATAAAGGACCAAGAAACTAAAACATCATAGATAACGGAGAGACAGTCCTCAAATGAGAAACAACTAAATATTAACATAACATAGAGACAAAAAATAAGCTGGCTGAATTTCCTGAAATGGTGTTATGTGTAACAGAAGTATGTTTTGAATGCAGGATGTTTTTATTCTACTGGCAAGACTTGTCTACCTTGCTGTGGCTGGTTGAACATGGCCTGGGGAAGATCTTCTCGTGCTGGTTGCTTGTCGTTGCCTAGCCAGAAATGACTGCCCTGAACCTGTACTAGCAAGTCTATCTTCAGCCGCCTTTTTATGCAGAGTCATTCCCTATATCACACAGGAAAAAAAGGTAATCAATGAAAAAGTAGTGGAACATACTCTCATAAAAGACAATTTCATCATGCAGATTTTCTTACATTGCATCAGAAGGCACAATTAGAAATGTTAATTCTGCTCATTATAGATTAAAATTTTATAGATATTTCAGTTCCAACAATTAGGTACAAATTTTCCTTTGGAAAAATGAAGAGTTAGTTTTCTGAATAGACAATAACCAAAACAATACATAATAGAGACAGATTTTAGAATATAGTACCGATTCTCAATCACACTTCCCTTTCAAATCAAATGTATGAAGTGATTTTCCAAGAAAAACAGTGCAGTTGATTGGTAGCAGTTGATTCACAAGGGGCTGTGGCAATCAGGGCATATTTAGAATGGCAAACCACAAATGCACTTGCTGTTCCTTAAGGTGGAAAGGCACACTAGATTTCATACATACCACCATGCTGTTTTTCTTCACTTCAGGCGGACTTGTATTCTCAAACAACTTAAGAAAAGTTCCTGACAGCCCCAAACAGAGGCCCAACAGGGAGCAGGGGGTCTTTCTTGAAGACAGGAGGATGGCCTACTAGCTTGGAAGGGAAAAGAGCCATAATTGCTGGGCCCAGAGCACCTTAACAGGTGCTCTGTTAAATAACCTCTGGGGGGTGTACTCTAAACACAGGGGAATAATCACAATGAACAGCCTGTGAGGGGATCAGGAAAAGAGTGGTTTTGGTAGTCATTTAATAAGCCGGTGAAGAACCTACACCAGACAAACATGGAGCACTGAGAACGGCTGCTTAATCTGACCAGTGACTGGATACAAGTAAATGGATGGGAGGAAGTGGAAGGCAACAAGGAGGAAATGAGCAATTGGGAGCCAGGAGGAGGGTCAGGCAGCTAAAGCTAAGCTATACTAAGACTCACAGCCTTCCCAGACCGAAATGGACAAACTGGCACAGAAGGCAGAAGTCTAAAAGATAAGTCTTCCTATCACTAGTCAAAACACTGGGCATGGCTTTGCATTTTTAATAGAATTGCAGTCTATCATATATTCCCCAATACATTAACACATTCCTCCATTTTGCCTACGAGACAATCCAGAATAGGTTTTTCACTCAATTTGAAATCAAAGCATTTAAGGATCTGAATAAAACTGACGGAAATCTATTGGTAATCTTTATTCAATTTGGCTACATATAAGGTATCCCCCAAAATGTATACACTAATAGCTGACAGCTCAATTTTGAAAATGAAATGTATTTCAATAAACAATGCCCTTATAATTATTCAAAGTATGTGTATATATTTTTTTGGATACCCAATATATTTATATTTCATTTAAAATATACTTTTTTTTCACTCTCATATTCCAAGCAACTTATTCAAATTCTTCATACACTTTCAAGACCTCAATATTCATCACAAAGCCATTCTCTGAGACACTCAATACCTTTTCCCAGCACTTGTCATCTTCACTTCCATTTCGGTTGAAGGAGATGCAGAACTTTCTGAATGTATGCATGAAGCTGTTACTGGCTATATTACCTGAACATTAACTTGTGTTTAGTCTACTCAGTTATTCCTTCACTCTATGAAGAGCTAAAAATTAGGACTATTCTTTAATATTATATCACAGGATAAATAAGTTTAGTTCCATTAGAAACACAATATGTGGAGTCATAAAAATCAATCAAGAATAAGAAATTACTGCCCTAACCGGTTTGGCTCAGCAGATAGAGCATTGGCCTGTGGACTGAAAGGTCCCAGGTTTGATTCCGGACAAGGGCATGTACCTTGGTTGCGGGCACTTCCCCAGTAGGAGGTGTGCAAGAGGCAGCTGATCGATGTTTCTCTCTCATCGATGTTTCTAACTCTCTATCCCCTCTCCCTTCCTCTCTGTAAAATATCAATAAAATATATTAAAAAAAAAAAGAATATGAAATTACTAATAAGGATTGAGGGCAGAGCTCCAAGATGGCTCTAACTTTTAGGAAGGATATAGAGGAAAGAGAATAGGTGAAGTCAAGACTAGTTCCCAGAGAACTTCCTTAAATATATAACGTTTTCCTATTGTTTAATTTTAATTTTCAAGAAACCTATACTTGTTAATAGTAATAGTATTTTAAACTTACTGATTTCCTCTTTTGTTTTTTTAAATTGTGATAAAATCTTAAATATGTACTTTTAACCAAGGCAAATATAAATGTGGACATGTCATGAAATTGTATTAATTTTAACAAAGATCAAAACATAGAATTAGTAGGCCTGGGATACTAACCTTCAAGACACAGTATCAATTATAACTGTAAAACAGAAATAATGATATTGTGCCATTAACACAACTTTAGTGTTGAAGAGGACTGCTGAAAGGAATCTGGTTTAATTTCCTTTCTTAAGCAACTAACAATTAAAGGCAGAAAGTGGTCTTACTGAAGAGAAGAACAAAGAAGAAAAAAATGACAAAAAGTATTGAAAAGAGTATAGTATTCTCTAAAAACCACAACTATTTATATCCAGAAAATCGTATTAAAGCAGAATGTGATGAGCATTTATTTTCCCCTGCAAAACATTCAAAGTTTTTGTGTGTGTTGGAAATCCAATTTCAAAACTTCCAGTCGTTCAGGGTCTATCAATCATACACACGTTTTAAATCCTATGAGATAGTTAAACTACACTCAGTGTAAGTACCATGCATGCAAAGTCCCACAAAACAAAAGCTACTGCTTCAGTATTTAGATATTACTAATGTCCCTTTCCTCTAGAAGAAAATGGTTCTAAGAGACAGAAATCAAACTGTCATTTATCTTTCTATTCTCTAGGGATAATGATGTGTTCAAAATACCCTAACCATGCATCTGATGGTTCTCACATCTGCTTTTCAGTCCCAAGATCAGCATTAGGTTTTGTTAGTGTGTGTTAGGATCATATTACTTTCAGATTCCTTTGGCAGAATTACTTCTACAGTAAAGGGCATGTAATAAGTATTACATATTCACTGAACTTTACAATATGTTTATAGGTGTTCTTTTCTTACCATATTGTACCAGGCACTAACAATATATTTTTCTTCCATCTCTCTTTGACTCTTTGTTTTCTCATATTCTTTCTAAAATACAAGCACATGTAAACATGAAAAGCAATTCAATATCAATAGTCACAATTTACTCTCTAAATTAATGGAGACAATCACATATAGTAAGGTTTCTAGAAAAAAAAAATGAAGTATCTTATTGTCTAGTACAGTGAACTACCTCTAATGAATGGAACATTCGGTCCCGTTCCTGCAGCTGATTTTTAAGAGCTTGTATTTCTGGTGCTGCTCCTTGATTTTGTTTAGGATCTAAAGTGCGGATAACCTGTAAAAAGTAATAAAATATTTACAAGTCTCAAACTGAAAGAATGTAACAGCTAAGAAAGCACTTATTTAAAAAACAAAAGATAAACTTTATGAAAATGAAAGCTATCGTACAAGGATACTTTAAAATTTGAATGTATGAAATCATATTCAATTATTGCAACTTTTAGTTATATAAAACTTTAATTATGTAAAAGAATCAACTATAAGAAGCCATTTTTGCTTAAAATTAATAAATCTTACTACAGCAAACACTACTGACAGCTATTGAGCCTTTCCCTTTCCTCCGATTTGGTTCAGCTAGCCCTCTGCCTCTGACCGGCGGGTACTTAGAAAGAGGTCCTGATGGTTCAAAAGGCTGTCACTGTGATCTACCTCTTCTGTCAGTGGCTCGGGTTAGGCATGGGTACATGATGCAATTCTAGCTAGCCAACTGGAGGTCTTCTGGGAAAGTCTTTTTGCTTTTGGCCCAGTACTTTTAGCATCAAAAATAGGCAAGCCTATAGAAAACTTGAAAGAGCAGAACAATAAAAACCCAGATCACCAATTACTGCACTGCCACATCTGACTCCTCCCCCTCCCCGCCGCCACACACACACACACACACACACACACACACACACACACACACACCCCCACACTTGCTCGTTTTGGGGACTACATGAAAGCAATCTGCAGACCTCATGGCATGTAACCCTTAAACACGTCAACATGTATCTCTTTTGACTAAGGACATTCTCCTACATAATCACAGTAAGATTATCATCTGTAAGACAATTAATATTTCTACAAATCATCAATCACTATTCGGGCCACATTCACATTTCCACAGGTATTTCCAAAATATCTTTTCAAACTGCCCTTCTGCCCCTGATCCAGGACCCAAAGATTAATGTATTACATTTGGTCGTTAGGTGCCTTTTGGCTTTTAAAAATCACAACAGCCTCTTATGCTCCCCCTACACTCTAATGCCTATTTTTGTTTTTCATAACATTGACTTTTATCCCAAATTCTGCATTTATTTGATGATTTTCTGAAAGTGTTATTTAACTGGTTTTAATAACCTTATTTTCCTTGGGAACTGAAAGGTAGGGCTAGATTAGAAGATTGCTTAGATTCAGGTCAAGTATTATTGGCAATGATACTCTATCAGGAGGCACAAGATGTTGGTTGCCCTACCATTAGTGGAGGTAATTCTGATTACTACTTAATGTGGTGACTGCCACTTATTTCCTATATAAAGGTTCTTTTTCCTCTTGGTACTTCTTGTTCTCCTCCTGATGCTCCGCATGAGAAGTCACTGTACCTGGATTTTGAGAAGTCAGTGGAACGTTATCGGAAAGTGAAGTGAGATGTCCATGAATGCATACTTACACTTTTAGCTTTCTCTAAATATTTCTTATATCGTTCTTCCATTTGCTTCATTTCCTCTTCTTTCTTCCTTAAAGCTTCCTGTAACTCTTCAATTTTTAAGGCTACAGATGAGACAATAAAAAAAATTTAGATTGTAACAACTTTAAAAACATTTCAACTAACAGTAAGTAGTTAATAGCTTTGAGATGGAGCTATTCCTATATTTTAAAAAAAAACAATTCATAATTTTTTTACAAAAAGCTTTTCTTATAAACAAAAACTCTACTATGAAACCACTCAAATTAAAAAAGATCCATTGAAGGATGGATGGATACACAAAATGTGATATGCATATATATACAATAGAATATTATTCAGCCTCAATTCTGATACATGCTACCACATGGAGACATTATACTAAGTAAAAATGAAAGACTTTATGCTAAGTGAAATAAGCCAGACATGAAAGGACAAATATTATGTTTCCAGTGGTATGAATGGGAATACTTAAAAGAGTGAAATTCACAGAGACAGTAGAATAGTGATTACCAGGGGCTAAGGATACAGAGCTTCAGTTTGGGATAAAAAAAGTTCTGGAGATGATGGTAGTTACACAACATCACTACACTGGACAATTGAGTGATTGCACAACAATATGAATATACTTAATGCCACTGAACTGTATACCATGGTTAAAATGGTATGTTATGTACATTTTACCACAATGAAAAAAAGTAAAACTCTATGTTTTACTTCACCTTCCACAAAAAAGAATGAAGTCAAACTACAAATACATGTAAGTTTAAAAAGAAGTAAAACTTTGACTTATATTCAACTATATCACAAAAGAACTAATTTAATAAAGTATTCATTATCCCTCACAGTTAATGAATAAAAAACACAACTACAATTAGAAATTTAAGAAATACTGTGAAGATGAGTATATATATATATATATAAAAGAGTATTATATATACATATATAAATGTATACATAAAAGATATATATATCTTTTAAAAAATAAAGCAAATTCTTTAAAATAAGGCCTATTTCTAAAATAAACAATTTTATATAAACTCATCACTAGGGTGAAGTAAGGCTAACTAATTTAACACAATGCTAATTAGAAAAAACTCACAGCTGTTGTTAAATCTTGGTTCGAGATCTTCAATAATGGCTCTTTTCTTCTGCAATTCATTATTGGCTTCATGTAGTTTCTCTCTGTAACAAAATATATAACTGTGTCACCTACTACTGTTCAAATGAAAAATGTAAGTTCTTTATTCATGGGATTCAGCTGCATAGCTCATAGTGCTATAAAACAAAGATGAGTCTGGCTGGTGTTGCACAGTGGTTGAGTCAACCTATGAACCAGGAGGTCACGGTTCAATTCCTGGTCAGGGCACATGCCCCAGTTGTGGGGTTGACCCCCGCAGTAGGGGGCGTGCAGGAGGCAGTGATCAATGATTCTCAGCATTGATGTTTCTATCTCTTTCTTCCTCTCCCTTCCACTCTGAAATCAATAAAAATATATTTTTTAAAAAAAGAATACTTAAAACAAAAATGAAAAGACAAATCCAACATGAATTTAACAGATTTTTAAAAATAAGTTAATCTTAGAGTTTGAAATAGTAGTCGCTTTTGCCCCACTCTGCACAAAAGGGTACAAAGAACTTCATGATGTTTATATTTTTCCTAGGAAAAAGGGTATTATAAAAATTAAATTTAAAACTTTGCTGAGGTTTTACAATGCAAAATCTTATTGCAAAAAGTTGATGTTCTAAAAATAAGGAGAGAACACTATGCCAATAGAAAAAAAAGATATATGCAACTACATGGATAGCTATCACAGACTGCTGAACACAGAAAGTCAGACCAAATAGGGCAATAATGAATGATTACATTTATATGAAGTTCAGAAAATTTAAAAATTTAGGAAAAGTGATTGAGATTAGCACAGTGGCTACTTTAGGGATGTAATCAATCAATTACAAGGGACAAGGATAAATCCTGGTGGGTTGCTGCAAACATTCTATATGCTGATATGGGTTACCTATGTATGTAGGAAAACATTCATTAAGCTGTTTGTAGACTTAGGGACTTAGGATTTGTGTATTTAAGTTATATTCCAATACAAATGTAAAAAAATAAATTAACAAAAAGAAACTTTGTTCCTGGCATTTATATGTGTAATTCTCCTTATACAGTATTTAGTGTGGCACTCTATAATATGAAAGAAAAAAGGCTGCCAAAATACAGAAAAATAGAAAATAGAATACTTTGTTTTCTCTATTTCTACTCTTTTAAATGCATAATCCTGTATAATAAAAGGGCAATATGCAAATAGACCAAACAGCAGAACAACCGAACAACCAATCAAAGCGTGATAGGCTAATGATACGCTAAGGCTGCCCAACCGTTTGCTATGACATGCACTGACCACCAGGGGGCAGATGCTCCGACCGGTAGGTTAGCTTGCTGCTGGGGTCCGGCTGATTGGGACTGAGGGAGATGGGCCACACACACTCTGTAGCTCTCCTGCGGTCCCTCCCCAGCCTGATCTTGCACCGGTGGGGTCTCAGCCTGGCCTGCACCCTTTCGCAATCTGGGATCCCTCGGGGGATGTCGGACAGGCGGTTTCAGCCTGATCCCGCAGGCCACTCCCCTTGGGAGGGCACCAGACTCAAGGCTCATGGCTGGCAAGTGCTGCTGTGGCAGCGCGAGCCTTTCCTGATTGGGACTGATTGGGTGTGAGCCTGTGGCAGGCACAGTGGGGCCGGGATCAGCGGAAGCGGCAGGGAGGAGCTGCAGGCAGTGTTGGACTGTAGGTTTCAACCTGACCCCTGCAGGCCATCCAGAGGGACCCCACCCACGCACGAATTCGTGCACCAGGCCTCTAGTATATTAATAAATCTTTTTCAACAATTTATTGAAGGTATCACACACACACTCACACACACACACACACAAACACATACATAACAGCGTGGAACTAAATTAAGTTTACAGTTGTATGTGAAACAGAGTTTATTCTTGTATTATTATTTATTACTAGGTGCCCAGTGCACAAATTTGTGCACCTTGAAAGGAACTGTGGGCCATGCGGCTGCAGTGGACACGGGGGGGTGGGGGGATGTTAGACAATCCTCTGTGCTCCTGCCTGGCCCCTCCCACTGCAGCCCCTGGTCCCACCTGCCAGCAACCCCACTCCTGCTGCTGCTGCTGCTCCCATGAGCTGACAGCGCCAGCCCCACTCACACCCGCTGATGGCGCGGAGTGATTGGGGCTGGCGCCAGCACCAGGTGCAAGCGGCACCAGCAGCAGGTGGAAAAGCCTTCAGGGGCGATCGGAGTCTTCCCTCGCAGCCCGGCTTCGTCCAGAAGGTTGTTGGGAAGCACGTCCCGTCTAATTAGCATATTATACTTTTATTATTATAGATTGTATAGTTTTCTATATGAACAACTGTAATCCTACTTTTGCCCCACCCTGCACACACACACACACACATACACACACACAATAAACATATATAGTTTGGTTACCTATCTCAGAGGTAACCAAACCTCAGAATTTTAATCATTCTCATGACTTTTGTGACAGGCCTTTGTATTCCTATAAAATGTATTGCTTAATTTTGCCCAATTTTTACATTATACAATACTTATACTGTATGTATTGTTCTGTGACTTCCATATTTTACTTAATATTATGTTCTTGTGATTCATCTATGTTGTTTGTTAGTCCTAGTTTACACATTTTTACCCCTGTATAATGTCCTATTGTTGAAATTACCTTACTCTATCATTTTACAATTGGTATTATTTTTTGACTGATTGATTTTGAGAGATTGATTTTTTGTTCTACTTACTTATGCATTCATTGGTTGCTTCTTTTTAAATTGATTTCAGAAAGAGAAAAGGAGAGAGAAATAGAAACACTGAAGAGAGCAAAACATTGATCAGCTATCTCCTGTAAGCCCTCTACTGGGGATTGAGCTCACAACCCTGGCATGTGCCGTGACAGGGAATCGAACTGGTGACCTCCTAGTACATGGGTCAACAGTTAACCATTGAGCCACATTGGTCAGGCCATTGGTTGCTTCTTGTCTGTGCCCTGACTGAAGATTAAACCTGCAACCTTGGTGTATTGGGAATGATACTCAAACCAACTGAGAAACCTGGCCAGGGCATTAGTAGTATTTGTATTGTTTCTACTTTTCTGTGATTATAAACAAGTAGAGGCCCGGTGCACAAATTCATGCACGGGTGGGGTCCCTCAGCCTAGCTGGTGATCAGGGCTGACTGGGGGTGTGGTGAGGGGGTAGCGGGGGAGCAGCTGGCCGGGACTGCGGGAGGTTGGCTGTGGGAACACACTGACCACCAGGGGGCAGCTCCTGCATTGAGGACCTGCCCCCTGGTAGTCATTGTGCATCATAGCAACCGATCAACCGGTCGTTTGGTCACTTAGGCTTTTATATATATAGATGATCTTCCATACTTTCCTCTACATGTTCTCTGGTACACATGGACAGCAGCATTGCTAGGAATCTAGGGCAGCGATTTTCAACCACTATGTTGCAAGAATTTTTAAAACATGAAATACCTGACTAGTCAAGGTCACTGACCTCTTTTCCCTTAGGTTGTCAAATAAAAATATGACAACAGCCAACACAATAGCCTTCCAGTGTGAATGCCTTGTCTTGAACCATAAATATATAGCTCATATAATAGAGTTGCATAATAAGGCTGTGTGTGATTGATTACTTCTTGGTACCAGAAATCCTTGTAAGTATATGCATCTGATTTTTAAAAAAGTCACTATGGAGCAAAAAGAGTAGGTAATTACCATTATTATTTTGGGGGTAAATCAATAAAATTCATATATTTTTTTGTCCGATGGGCAAAAATGAATTTTTTGGTGTGCTGCAGATTTTCAGTAATTAGTTTCTGTGTGCCATGAGATGAAAAAGGTTGAAAATTGCTGGTCTAGAGCATATATAGGGGAGTGGAATTGATAGGTCACAGAACATGTTCATGTTTAAGTTTACTAAGTAAACTGCTACACACTCCTACGAGCAATGGTGAGAATTACCATTGCTCAACATCTTTGGCAATACTCAGTATGTCTGATTCTTAAATTTTACCGATTGGGTGTGTGTAAAATGGTCTCCATTGTCACTTTATTTTTTTTATTTTTATTTTTTTAATATATATTTTATTGATTTTTTACAGAGAGGAAGGTAGAGGGACAGAGAGCTAGAAACATCGATGAGAGAGAAACATCGATCAGCTGCCTCCTGCACACTCCCCACTGGGGATGTGCCTGCAACCCAGGTACATGCCCTTGACCGGAATCGAACCTGGGACCCTTCAGTCTGCAGGCCGACACTCTATCCACTGAGCCAAACCGGTTTCGGCTCCATTGTCACTTTAAATGTGTATAAAATTGACCATCATTTAAGATGTCTATGGTCCCTGTGTCTTCCCAAAGATATGATGAAGTCCTAATACCCAGTACCTACGGATGTGACATTTGGAAACAGACTCTTTGCAGATGTAATTAGTCAAAATGAACTCATACTGGACCAGGGTGGGCCCAAAATCCAATGACTGGTATCCTTGAAAGTCCCAAGAAGGCACAGACCTACGGAGAGAATGCCATATGGAAATAAAGATAGAGGTTGGAGTGATGCACCTACAAGCCAAGGAACACCAAGGACTGCTGGCAGCCACCAGAGATATGAGAGGGGCATGGCACAGATTCTCTTAGGACTTACAGAAGGAACCAATCCTGTTGACACCCTGATTTCAGACTTCTGTTAGAGAATAAAATTCTATTGGTTTTAGCCCCCTGCAGTTTGTGGTAATTTGTTATAGCAACCACAGGAAATGAATACAGGTCTCATCTCTAATCAATTCTTTCAATGACGATTTTTACCTTGTAAATGACTAAATACAAAAAATGGTCAGACCATAATTTTATGAAACAACCGGTATTCTCTTTTTGCCAATAAAGGAATGGGAAGAATTCAGTACTAAATCCTGACTCTAGGTAACCTTACAATGGCTGGGAGGTAACATTTTCTGTTCTAAAACATTAAAAATCTGCCTATTGTTAGACTTGCTAGCAAGTACCAGTTGCAAGGACTATCTCACCTTCCCCACATTAAAAAAAAAATTTAGCATGAGGTAAGGTGCCAGACTACAGAATGTCTTTCCAGTATCAACAGAACAAGTAAAAATTATCTACTGAGGATATCTGTTTTACTATGGTGCAACACTAACATTCTAACAGGTTAACAATTCATGGTCACTCTGCACTCAATGTTTGCAAGGAGAGATGTTTGCTAGAAAGTGAAAGGAAGGATTAAATTTGTTACTGGGTGTGAGAAAAATCATAAAACATTCCTAACATTGTCAACCTCAGATAAAGATAAAGATGGATGGAAATTTCTTCCTTATGAGAAAACAAATGTAATATTTTGAAATTTATTTCACCATTTAGATTAAAAAGCCATGTTCAGATATATCTGAAATTCAAGGAAATGTTTGATAGTCTGCTACTGATAAACTTTATAATACTTTTTTCAAAAATTTCCTTAAAAGAGATGATTCAGGTCAGAGGAAGAGCAGCAGGAGAGATCCCCTTGGTCTCTCCCCTTGAAGTTTCAGCAATTTGAACAGCTGTAACTCAATAAAGGATTCCCCACTCAATGTACAGTCATGCCTGAGATCCGCACATTGAAGCATTAAAGGTGGGCCAGCAGGAACAAACTGGGTAGGCTGGAAGGCAGAAGGAAGATGAGCCACTCAGCCCTGCAGCTGAGAGCTAACTGTGGGGCTCAGCCTGGAGAGGGGAGGAACCCAGTTGTGGCTGGTGCTAGCTTCAGCGGGGAGAAGCAGAGAGACTCGGTGGAATGAGCAGCATGAGCTGAGGCTGAGTCAGAGACTGGGGCAAGGACACAACACAGGGTGCACCTGTGCCTCTTGGGTGGCCGGAATTCTAGACTGAGAAACAAAGCCACAAAAGCCTGCTGCCTCATAAACTCTATCCTCCCATCTCCTTTGGTGTCATGTTGCGGAGTACATTACCTGAAAACCCGAAAACTGGTACTACAGAATCACGATTTTCCCGGAGCAAAGGGTGTACTCTGTGACTGGCCCCAGGTCAGGGCAAAGGGAGACCCCCGCAGAGGTTCAAGGTCACCATTACCAAGAGGGCAAAACAAAGAAGGCAACAGAGTTCCCCCAGGCCACCCAACCCACACACATTGTGGCTACACTGACAGCCAGAGACACTGCAGGGTCAGCACTGGAATTTCCCAGAGCTAAAAAACTTGTGATTTAACACCACCTACTGGAAAATGATGGAAAGACCTCTTTGTATTAATCTGCTAGAGAGGTGCCACTCAAACAGATGCCTAGACAGAGAAGGAATTTATCGAATACCATGAATAACCAAGGTACCAAGGCAGCTCAGAAAGACAATGAGAAATCTCCACAAAGCAACCTGAAACACAAGGAAATATGTGATATAAACGACAGACAATTCAAGATTGCAGTTCTGAAAATATTCAATGAAATGGGAGAAAATATAGACAGGCAATTTATTGCACTCAGAAAAAGAAATTAATGAACTGAACAAGTATTTTACCAAAGAGACTGAAATTTTAAGAAAGAACTGAACAGGAATTCTAGAGATGAAGAACTCAATAAAAGAGGTAAGAAATGAACCAGTGAGCCGTGTATAGAGCATTGGCCTATAGACTGAAGGATACCGGGTTCTATTCCAGTCAAGGGCACGTGCCCAGGTTGCAGGCTCAATCCCCAGTAGGGGCCGTGCAGGAAGCAGCCGATCAATGATTCTCTCTCATCAATGATGTTTCTCTCTCTGTGTGTCTCTGTGTCTCTCTGTCTCTCCTTCTCCCTTCCTCTCTGAAATTAATAATAATAAAAAATGAATCAGTGAGCATAGGAAATGGAGTGAAGCAGATGGGAGGAAAGAATTAGTGATATCAAAGATACAAATCTAGAAATTATTCAGAAGGAAGAAGAGAGAGATTTGAGCATTAAAAAAAAATGAAAGAAAACACTCTGATTCCACCAGAAAGAGCAATATGGTAATAGGTGTTCCAGAAGGAGAGAGGGAGAAGGGAAAGAAGAGCCTATTCAGATGAAGAAGAGGTGACGAGAACTCCTCACGCCTATGAGAAGAGCTAGTTCCACGAATCCAAGAGGCAAACAGAACACCTAGTGACTCAAAGCAAAGAGGTCTTCTCCAAGGCATACTATATTAAAACTGTCAAAAATAAATGACAAAGAAAGAATTCTCAAGGCAGTCAGGGAAAAGAAGAAAGTAACCTATAAAGGAAAACCCACTAAGTTATATTTAACTTCTCAGCAGAAACTCTACAAGCCAGACAGAGTGGAACCAAATAGTCACACTACTGAAAGAAATTACCAGCCAAGAATAATATATCCAGCAAAGTTATCCTTTAAATATGAAGGAGAAGTAAAACCCTGGAATCTCATTTGAAAACAGTTCTATAGGAGTCATTGTTCCAACTTGAGGATCTTTGGTGGAGACGACCCTTTAGACACTCTTCATATACATCTTGCAATGTTCTATATCTTCAAGGGATACCCAAGCCATTGCCTAAACACTGTGTAACCACCTAATATAAAACACTTATGTTTCACTGGGTAATATAAGAATAAGCCTCAATAGCTTTTATACTTACAGATGTTCTTCAAGTTTCTTTTTTAGAAGAACTGACTGAAAATGGAAAATAAAAAAATAATTTATTACTTAACATTTTACAACTAATAATTATTTTCTAAAACTTAAGCTCATAGTATTACCTAAGTCTGAGTGAGCCCTCAGTCACCTCTCTGGTCAAAGAGCTCAAAACACATAATGTACCAAGTTTATTTCCTTTTGATAAGGAAGAGAGCAGCCCATAAGTAGCAGCAATCAGTATAAAATACCCAGAAACTGCATCTCTGAATTACCTATTGATAGTCGGGGGGGAAAAAAACCACTCATGTAGACCTAATAATATCCCTGGACTCAGCAGGCAGGTAGAACTCTAATAATAATAAATTTTCCATAAGACATTTTTTTAAAATTTTTTTTAAATTTTTAATTTTTTATTACGAAGGGTATTACATATGTGTCCATTTTTTCCCCCTGCCCTAGATAGTCCCCTAGCCTCCCCTATCCCCCAGTGTCCATAAGACATTTTTTATATTGTTTCCCTTGCATCATGATAAAGTCTGGGATCAATTTCCATAAATACTTAAGACTTATTTGATCAGTGATTTACAAATAGGCACGTTGCAAATAATTTACGTGATGGTATGGGAATATGAAGGATGATATATACACAGAATTTAACATGCTAGAGAATGCAGCTTTGATGGGGTATTTTTTTAAAAAATCCTGAAAAGCAGGAGATCAGAATTGACCTAAAAATAATCAAATAGTAAGTGGCATTTATATAGGACCCTTAGATTTCATAAACTTAACACTTGTAAGGTACATATTAATTAGTGAATTCCATGAAACATTCTGAGGTAAATGGTTACATAATTAATTCAGTCAAACACAATTAATATAGGCTTATTAAATAAATTGTTCAATCAATCAATAGCAGTGATAAGGAGAAAAAACTCCACACACTAAGTTCTTCGATTTTCAGTCACTTTATTTGATAACGCCTACAGTAACTATTTAATCAAATCCATTCTAACACAACTCTGGAATATTTAAAATTCATTTCTTTGTACAGTATATTAACTATAGCTAGATCAGTGGACCATGAAGTCCTCCATCACTGCTTCCCTCAAACATAAAAAAGATAATAACCCTATTAATTTCCTATTATGCTTGTTCCTTCCTCAGTACACAGGGTAAAATGAAAATACTTTCTAAATACCTTAGACTTTAATTTTTCACTTATGTTGTAATTAGGCTCTACAAAATTAATTTTAACTCTGAGAAAATATATAATAAAATAATGATTTAATGAGTGGTTAATATGTCAGGCACTGCACTAAAGCATGTCATATACATTGTCTCATGTTAACCTCACAACACTGAGTAACAGTAATCCATCTTATAGCTTAAGAAGGTAAGGCTGGGGAGATATTCAAGCTTTCAAGTGGCAGATATCTTTTCAGTATCTTAACTGTAAAGCGCATAAACCTATAAGGCAAGTAATATTGGTATGTCCATTTTGCATAAAATCCCCGTAATTTAAAATTTTAATACCATCAACTATAATGGCAGATAATATATAAATCATAAAGTTGCTCAATATAGAGAAATGAATAGGAAGCCATACTTACAATAGCCTTGAGCAGAAACCATGCCAAGAGACAGAGAGGACATATTAGTATGAAGCAAACACAGCAGCCAATAGAAGGAACGATTTAGTAATTCATGAACAGAAGTAAAAGATATGCATTTTTTTTTCAAAAATGTACATTTTTCTTTCTTCTATGGTCTCCTCATCCTGTCTTGTTCTCTGGAGTTTTATACACTGTGGCTAGCTCAAATTATCCATATGACTGGATATAACAATGCTTTTCTGCTTCCAAGCTAAAAATAAATGACATAAAAATAATAATAAAAATGTGCAAACCATCCTACTCTAACTTAGGGTTACTGCAATAAGAAATTATGTTGTTCTTCAGAGGGGACCGATCCCATTTGGCAGGTAGTTCTATGTATTATATATTCCTGAGATGCAACACTGTGGATTAGTGAAAGAGACGATGAAAGCAGCAAAAGTCTGTTGGGGGAAAGAACCACGTATCCTGCACCACACTACTTCTCTAAACCATTTTGAGGCATATCATCAGAATAAGGAAAGTTTCAAATGGAGTATTTCCTAGATGTAGACAAAGAGATCTGAGAGAATTTCTAAGAATTTAGAGCAAGACATCTCATGAGCATCTGGGCAGTCAAATAAACTGACTAATTTATGCAAATAGTACTTTAGAGGGCTTGCATTTCACTTCTGAAACATGTTCTCTTAAAGTAGTGGCAAACAGCGTATTTAATTAGATTTGATTACACAGGTGTACATAAATAACCAGGCTATGCAAAATTATTTTTTACAGAATAAATTTATGCATGTTTTAATGTAAGTAAGAGAATCAAGCATAAAGGTTATCGCTACAGCACTAATGCTGAGCTGATACTGATGTTTCACCGTTTTTACTTCTAAATGCATCAAAGGCCCTTTGTGTCTCTGCTACAACAAATTAACAAAAGACATCAAACTTTCAAAGACCAAAACTAAGTTTACATTTACCTCAGTGTGAGAGACCTAGAGATTTCACTGAACTAAGAGAAGTTACCCACTTTGGTTCATCTCTCAGATACTCTTCGTTAGGTTTAATAAGATTTTAATACACAAATGGTGGTTTTGCTTCATCTCTTTATGATTTAGCATTCTGGATAAAAGCAAGTTTTAAAAGTAAACCATGACATTTTAAAATAGCGCCATTTTAATAAAGGAACAAGGTAGTTTCAATGTTGGTGACAATTTTAGGAAGTGGAAATCAACCTGGGAGTCTAAGAACTACCATTACATTAATTCAAGGATGAACTAAAACCACTGCAAAGAAAAGCATGCTGCCAGTATGTGCTCATGAAGCTTATGAAACTCCTAAAACTAGGTCTTTGATCTGCCTTTTTACATCTAATATTCTCAGGTTTAAGTACTGTCCTAGTTTAACTCTCCTTTGATTGCTCTTGTCCTTATACACTCTTCTGTTAATAAGGCTGATGAAACTGGATATCTCTAGTGTTGACGCAGATCCCAAAAATGACTCTACTAATGAAAACGATCAAATAAGTTTACACTCAAAAGCCAGAGTTTATAACAAATTACACTGGCAACAGGAAAACACAAACAAAAAGAAACCAAAGAAACCCAACTGGCCGAAGCAAAGATTGGTCACTAAAACTTAGGTGTCTTTTCCCCGCTTCTTTACATTATTTTTGAGCATTTTATATTGTATACTGCAGTTCTATTGTACACTGTTCATTCAACATAAAGAATTTGCAAAATACGGTTCATTTGCACTTGCATCAGAGACTGACTGACCACTACGTGCTACATAGCACTATAACGGATGGCATGAGGAGATGAAAAAGGACCCGGTTGCTGGCTCAACACATTTACTACCCTCTAGATTTGAGCATGCCAGTCAAGCAGGCAGGGCTATGACAGATATGCAGAGTGGCTAAGGAAATATTTTTAACAGGTTGTGAACTTAATTTGAGTGTGTATTAGGGGTAGGTAGCAAGAGGGATTCAGAATTTAAAGATGATGGGATTCTAGAGATGACAATTTTCTTGAATATCAATTTTACATAAAAAATTTCTACCTGAACATGTTAAGTTCTACTAGCATTGTTTTTTGTTTTTGGCCACAGGGGAAAACCCTATATTTTGAAATCTGAATTGATAATTTGTAAAACATAAAGCTCAATTAACTTCTTAGTTGATAGCTACAAATAAATTTCTAATTCCCAGCAGAATAAATCGGAAAGAGACAATAAGGTATCATTTGGCTCTTTTTGGGAATGCTAGTAAAAGGAAAACATTGTTTCTTTTCTATAGTCAATATACGTAATTACAAAGTATTTTGATAGAGAACATCAGGTAAAAGAATAAAATACAGGTTTTGTTAATACTATAGAACTGTTGGACCATGGTTGGTACATATTAAAACTTACATCTTCTGCTTTTGATCCTTGATCCTGTAAAGACTTTTGCAATTCTTCAACCTGTGACTGTACTTCCAGAAGTCTTTGATTCACCAACCTAGAAATCAAATGTACATTAATTTTCCAAATTCTGACTTAACTTATATCTTTTTTCTTAGGTTGTCATATGGTTAGAGACAGTATAATTAACAAAATAAAGCCGAAGGTTATAGTAGTAGTAGTAGCTCACTTTTCAAATTATTTTCATAGTGCATGAAATTTCTATGATTTCCAATGTAGTGTTTTGTGGACACATTCTGTTGAATTAATGTACCTATGCATATCTATTTATCTGAAATTCACTTTGACATACATTTAGTCAAACTATGTGTCAAGCACTATGCTCAACACAAGTGTTAAAGATCCCTGCACTTAAGGAATTTAGTGGGGAGGCAAAATGTAAACAAAATAAATATGACATAAATACTTCAACATAGTGCAAGATGTATACAAAAGAATGATGACTGCTCAGAGAAGCAAGGTCTGTACCTAATTGTGTGGAGAAATTAGGACAGGCCTGACTTAAACTGAGATTAGAATAATAAATAAAATATGTAGTTAAGGATAAAAAAGGAGATTTAAGACAGAGAACTGAACATGTCCAAAGCACACAGAAAAATGAGAGGGTACAGTAAGATCATGAATGGTATGCCTGAAGAATAAGTTATGAGGGGTAAGAACAGCTGAAGATGAAACCAGAGAAGAAAAGGAGAAGTTGGGTGCAATCTTGTGTAAAGTGAAAAAGTATCAGGAACTTAAAAAAAAGATGGCCTAAAATTAGGCTGGAACTGGAATAACCCAGCCAACCTTTAATAATGCTGATTCTGAAGCTCAATCTTCATAAATTCTCTTGGTCATTATGATGCAACATTCAGTAGCCCAGTTTGGTTCCCTAGGTCTTGGATAATGTTGAGGACTGCCAGAAGGAAGATACACGATCAGATATTTTAGAAAGATCACGCTGGTTTGAGAGTGAAAGATGTATCAAAAAGGTCACAGAGCACGCATGAAGACCCGGAAAATGCTACTACACTAATTACCACATATGCCTAAAACAGAAGAGACAGAGAGGAAATGTACTGGGAAGGCACAAGAACTCAAGGAATAAAAAATAACACTTAGGATACTGACTAGGAAGAATGTAAAGAAAAGCAGAAGAGTAAAAAGGTGGTCCACAGCAAACCACCAAGCACAGAGTAGAAAGAGGAATCTCACCTGGAGAATAAATAATAAGAAAATCTGGAAAAACACAAGACAAGGAAGTTACCGAAATTTAAAAAAAAAAAGTTTGAGGAAGGCGGGGATGATCAACAACAATGAATTATTAGCAGAGAGATAAGGAAAGATAACATCTTAATTGCTCCCACTGGATTGGCCATTTAACAGATGACTAGTTATTTCAATAAGAAATATTTTAGTGAGATGGTAGTAGTAAAAGACAGACTGCCCCAAATCAAGGACAAATCAGTGAAATCAGTATTCAGAATCTAACTAGACAGAAAGTGTAATAAGATGTTTTGTGTGTGTGTTTTGTTTTTTTTTACTCAAGAAGGTACAAAAAATTCTGATCATAAACCTACATTCTATAAGTTAGTGAAAACTGCAGTAAAAATACAATCAAATCTATAATAATTGATGTTTTTCACATCAGGAAATATAGTATTTGAGTAGGTTTTCAACAGTGAAAGAATTATCTGAAAATCTATATTCAATATGAAGAAAGGTACATTACGAGTAGTATGTTAATTGTCTAACTTTTCAGAAAGCAATATGAAAATGCAGTATACATCAAACTATAAGACTATTTCAAACACCCACCTTAGCCATTTTTAAAATTAGTCAAAAATACTGCAAGCCTATTAGGTGGAGGCCACTGTAAATGTCATAAAACGTAATAAGTCAGTCCATACCAAGATGTTCTTTGGAAAGACTTGAAAGCAACTCAAAAGCCCAGTAACAGGAAATGGACAAAAAGCAAACATAGTAATAAAACTGCTGAAGTTTGAAGTAGCTTTAATTTGTGATTAAAAAAGGGGAAACGTAGGGCTTTGATATCATTTTGCTTGAAGAAATAGAGAAGGGAACACTATTATAAAGAGGCACAGTACTTTTGGCAAGTCTGTCCATAAATGGAGAAACAGCTTAAAGTTCTCTTAAAAGGAAATGGAATTAACACATTATCACTTCTCAAAATATAATTCGTGCCTTTGTTTAAGCTGCGGGGGAAGGGAACCTTTTTTCTGCCAAGGGCCATTTGGATATTTATAACATCCTTCGCAGCCCATACGAAATTATCAACTTAAAAATTAGCCTTTTATATTTGGTCAAACATTTAATTAACTCACCCCTAATGCCTTGGCAGGGCCAGACCAAATGATTTCGGGGGCCATATACAACCCACAGGTTGGATGTTCCCCAACCATGGTTTAAGAGAATCAAAATCAGGGCAAACAATCGAGAATACCTGTGGCTCAATGCAGCTGCCTATATACATTCCTACCTATTCTCTGTCTCCAGTTCATTCTTGCGAAGATTTGCATCATCCAGAAGGCTTTGCAATAAGGCAATTTTTTCATTGTCTGAACCCTCTTGATTAAGTTTTAATATCTTATTTTCATGCTGAAGACGAATAAGTTTCTCCCTAAATGAGTACAAGAAAAACTGATTATCTGGTACATTAATACAATCCTATCTAATAAAAGAGAAACATGGCAATTGGCGTACGACCGCTACCCTTCCCATTGGCTAATCAGGACGATATGCAAATAAACTGCCAGCCAAGATGGCGGCCGGCAGCCAGGCAGCTTAAACTGAGCATGAGGCTTGCTTGCTTCAGTGATGGAGGACTGCAACGTCCCCCGCCTGCTGTGCCAGCCTCTGAGCTTGCAGTTTAAGAAACATTGTAACAAATATAGAAGCTAAACAAAACCCCAAAAACCAGCTGGGATCTCAGAGCTGGAGTTGATACAGAGTTTCAATTATAGAACCTCAACAAACCAGATACCTACTTTCAGCAGCTGAGGCCTCAGAGCTGGAGCCAGAGCTAAAGCTGGCCCAGAATTAAAAAAGAAAAAGAAAAAAGGAGCAGTTGGGAGCTTCAGTCCCAGCCTGAAAATGGCCCTCAGCCCCTCACCTAGACTGGCCAGGCACCCCAGTGGGGACCCCCACCCTGAAGGGTGGGTGACCAGCTGCAAACAGCCATCAGCCCCTCATCCAGGCTGGCCAGGCACCACAGTAGGGACCCCCACCCTGATCCAGGACACCCTTCAGGGCAACCCAGCCAGCCCCCACCCATGCACCAGGCTTCTATTCTATATAGTAAGAGGGTAATATACCTCCCAGCACCGGGATCAGCGGAGCTGAGAGGCCTACCGGCACCAGGATCAGCGTGACAGGGCCAGCGCCCAAACCCCCTGATCATCCTGCGGCTGTGTGTGTGACAGGGGGGCGGGGCCACAACCCCCTGATCGGCCCTGCTCTGTGGGTGATAGAGGGCAGTGCCCCAACCCCCTGATCTGCCCTGCTCTGTATGTGACAGGGGGTAGTGCGCCAACTCCCCTATCGGCCCTACACTGTGTGTGACGGGGGGAGCTCTCCACCCCCCTGATGGGCCCTGCTGTGCGTGACCGGGGGCAGCTCCCCAACCCCCTGATGGGCCCTGCTCTGTGCGTGACCGGGGGCCGCACCCCAATCCCCTGATTGACCCTGCTCTGTGCGTGACAGGGGGGGGCACCGCAACCTCCCCATCGACCCTGCCTTGAGTGTGACAGGGGGCGGTGCCCCAACCCCCCAATCGGCCCTACCCTGAGCGTGACTGAGGGTGGCATCGCAACCTCCCAATCCGCCCTGCTCTGTGCAGTACAGGGGGCAGTACCCCAACTCCCCAATCAGCCCTGCTCTGAGCCCGACCAGGGGCTGCACCTAGGGATTGGGCCTGCCCTCTGCCACCCGGGAGCAGGCCTAAGCCAGCAGGTCGTTATCTCCCGAGGGGTCCCAGACTGCGAGAGAGCACAGGCCGAGCTGAGGGACCTCCCCTCCCCCCAAGTGCACAAATTTTTGTGCACCGGGATTCTAGTCTATATATATAAAGCCTAAGCGACCATTTGACGGGTAGCTAAGACACGCACTGACCACCAGGGGGCAGACACTCAACGCACAGGCATGGAAACATGGAACAGATTGATGAATCTCAGAGGGAAGGGGGGAGGTTGGGAAGAGATTAACCAAAGATCTTGTATGCATACTAGAGGCCCGGTGCACGGATTTGTGCACCGGTGTGGTCCCTTGGCCTGGCCTCTGGGGTTTGGGCCGAAACTGGCAGTCTGACATCCCCCGAGGGGTCCCACATTGCGAGAGGGCACAGTCCAGGCCAAGGGACCCCACCAGTGCACAAATTTGGTGCACTGGGCCTCTAGTATAGCTATCAAAATCCAGCTAAGTATAGTTACAGCTTTAATACATAGAACAGAAATGAAAAACAAAGTACCTACGAAGAATGCAGCTCCTGTTATAACTGGATAAGACATTACATCTCGGGGCTTAAGTACTTTCTTTTTGAAAATGGATAATCTGAAGGTAACTCTCCAAATATCATGATTTGTAATGAAAGAGATTTCAAGATCCTATTTTTTCTCTGATTTGCACATTGAAGCTATGAAAGCATTTACATATTTGTTCTTTAGTTCTTATAAAAAACATGATCTCTAGTGCCATATTCTTAAATTACTAATCATTTGATGGCAAGATATACTATCCAAAGAAGAATGCCTCCAAGATATGCAGTCCAGCCCTGACTGGTTTGGCTCAGTGGATAGTGAGTTGGCCTGTGGACTGAAGGGTCCCAGGTTCGATTCTGGTCAAGGGCATGTACCTTGGTTGCGGGCACATCCCCAGTGGGGAGTGTGCAGGAGGCAGCTGATCGATGTTTCTTTCTCACCGATGTTTCTGACTCTCTCTATCCCTCTCCCTTCCTCTCTGTAAAAAGTCAATAAAATATATTTTTAAAAAAATGCAGTCCACCCATTCCTATATATATGTAAAATTTTTATAACAAACTAGATTATCAGAGCCAACTTATTTGACTGCATTGCTGTGGGATCCTGTGTTATGACAAAAGCTTACACTGAGGGATGTTAATAGCAACAGCCACAAAAAGCTTGCCACTACATTTACTGCAGGGACGATATAATTGAATATTAATCCATGTCAAGATATAACTGAAGATCTACCTCTTGAAAATATAATTCATTCTTAATTTACTCATACCAGATGCTATAAAAAGCTATGCTTCTCATGGAAAATACAAAAACAAAACAAATATACACAAAACAGTCTGCTCTTATTTTATAAACACCATAAATCTTATAAAGCAATTTTACTTTTGCTGTTGAAAATATGAAAGTCAAATTTGTGGCCCAACTGAAGCAATTATATAAAACTTGGTATATTTTATGTATGAACAACATGACTAACATATTTTTGAACTGTAAGTAAAAACACTCATTGTGGGGGGGGGGTGAGAAAGGATAAATGAGAAGAAAATAGAAATCCTCTATAGCCCTATGGTGCAAAATAATTGCTGCTGAAATACAGCCTTCTACTGCGATGCATATGTACACACATGCCAGGAGTTTAAAAAATGGATCACATAGTATGTTACATTGATATCTGCTATTTATACTTAAATTTTCACAATCATTTCATATCAGTAAATAGTATACTTTAATATTTTAAATGACACATTAACACATTGAAGAATTGTTATTTAATTTAATCACTGGGCATTTAGGTTGTTCCCAATTTTGAGATTTAATATGCTAATAATCATCAGCTTTATAAATATACCTTTGTGTATATCCTTCATTATTTCCTTAGGATTAATTCCCAGAGAAATAAATTTTGGGTCAAAAGATAGTCACATTTAGATAATATACACTTTTTGCCAAAATGCTCAGAAAAAAAGTTGTACCACCATAAGAATAAAAATTTGTGCCCTGGCTGGTCTGGCTTAGTGAATAGAGCATTGGCCTGCAGACAGAAGGGTCTTGGGTTTGATTCCGGTCAAGGGAGTGTACCTCAGTTGCAGGCTCAATCCTGGCCCTGGTCGAAGCATGTGTGGGAGGCAACCAAATGATGTGACTCTCTCACACCGATGTTTCTCTGTCTCTACCCTTCCCTTCCACTCTCTCTAAAAATCATGAATAAATATCTTTTGGTGAGGATTAAAAAAAAAAATTTAACTAAACTGACTATGGTAATTATTTCACAATATATACATATATCACATCATTATGTTGTATAACTAAAATTAATACAATTAATATGCCAATTATATCTCATTATTAAAAAGTTGTACCACTTTATGTTTACTCTTCGCTTATGAGTTCCCAATTTCCCCGTACCCTTAATATCAGTGACAATTACCACTTATAGTAGTTTTTGAAATTTGATAGGTATACTTTATTATGTATTAAACCTATTAGCTCATTGTCTGTAACACATGTTGCAAATTTTTGTGCCTTTTACCATTTCATTATCTTGATAGCTCTCTAGACACAGAGTATATTTTAATTTTACTGAGTCATACCCAAAAAAGTCATTTTATTTGTGGAATCTTTATCATTGTTCTTTTCCTCAATTTAAAAATCCAACTGCATTACCAATAAGCTCACTTAAAAATTTTTTTTGGACATAACCATTTACTTATGAATATTCATAAATAATGTGTTCATTCATTCCAATTTTAACGGTCCAATATCATTCATTCAAATTTTAACGGTCCAATATCATTCATTCAAATTTTAACAGTCCAATATAAAGTACCACCTCAGATGGCAGAAAAGAAAAATTTACAAGATGCTTCCAGAGTTGGTGTTGCATTATACTCCTTTTGTGTTTCCTTCTTAAATAAATGCCAACAACAATCAATAGTCTTTATTTACTTAACAAGTATTTTAATGCCTATTTTAAATCACAGTTTATAAGACTCTTAAACAACAAAGGATATTAAAAAGAATCAAGGCCAGTGTCAATTTAAAAAGGGGGCAAACAGACTCACAGAAGGTAAAAATAATATTCAGATTCAGCATTCTCTTTCTCCTGGACACTTGGTGTCTCCCCACCAATCTTTTATTCTGTTTTCAAAATATATGTTGTTATTAATTTTAGAGAGAGAGCAGGAAAGGGAGAGAGAGAAACATCAATAAGAATCATTGACTGGCCGCCTCCTGCAAGCCCCCTACTGGGGATCGAGCCCACAACCTGGGCATGTGCCCTGACTGGGAATGGAAACGGTAACCACCTGGTTCATGGGTCGATGCTCAATCACTGAGCCACACCAGCCAGGCCAGTCTTTTATTCTTACTATAAAGTCGGGCACATATTGCAATAAATGGAATTTTTAAAATGCTATGAATAAATAAAAATGTAAGATACTAGTGAGGAAAGAATAGAACAGATGGGGAGATATTTCCTCCTGTCTACTGTATTAAATCTTTCCCAGACCATTCCACCTAATTAAAAGATGCGTTTTAGTGACGAGTTACTTTGCAGACTGATGGCTAAACATAGCGTTTACTTTGGGGTCAAGTGGTTTTATGGCTAAATGTTTGCTAAGGGTACTCAAGCAGAGAGATGTCAGTTTGCTGTATAAGTGTGAAACATTGTCCTACTGAAGTAAGAAGATCAAGTCTCTTGGGCCAGTTGAAAAATGCACTGGACATTTGCTACTGAGTTCATGCTGAAAGTGTTAGTAATAACGAATCGTATATAATAAAAGCCTAATATGCTAAGTGTCCCGTCGTCTGGTAGTCCATTCAACCAATCAAACCGTAATATGCTACTGATATGCTAAGGTCACTTAACAGCTTGCTATGACATGCACTGACCATTGCGGGGACAGAAAGCGGACCAGTCGACCGGTTGCTATGATGTGCACTGACCACTGGGGGCAGACGCTCTGACTGGTAGGTCAGCTTGCGACATGCCCGGGAGCCCTCCTGCATCCCTCCGTGACCCAGAGAGTGCACTGGTGGGGGTCCCTTGGCCTGGCCTGCTCCCTCTCGCAATCTGGGACCCTTCAGGGATGTCGGAGAGCCGGTTTCGGCCTGATCCTTCAGACCAGGCCGAATTCGTGCACCAGGCCTCTAGTAAGGAAATAATCCTCTTCATATTACAGAAAAGTAAGTTTTCTCCAGAAATATAGTGCAGTGTGACTGAACTTTATGATCTCCTTACCTGATTTCAGGTGTAACAATCTCGGCTGCCAGACTATCTGAAGACTCCTGACTTCCCAGAGGCATTAATCCTATAAATATGTAAACATGAATGTAAGGGTAAGAGAGAACACCACCATTTCCTTTAGTGTCCAGATGAAATCCTACTTTGAGCATCAATTTTAACAGCTAAAATTTTTGTTTTAGTCAAATAAAAGATCATGTCACAGTTGTTTTACATTATTATTATGTCATTTGAACAATTTTTAAAAATATTTTATTTTATTGATTTGAGAGAGAGAGAAGAAGGGAGAGGGACAGAGAGAAACATCGATGAGAGAGAAACATCGATCAGCTGCCTCCTGCACATCCCTACTGGGGATCGAAACTGCAAATGTGCCCTAACCTGGAATCAAACTGGTGATCTCTTGGTCCATGGGTCGATGCTCAACCACTGAGCCATACCAGCCGGATAATTTCCATTTTTAAGTGTACAACTGAATGGCAGTAAGTAAATTCACTATGTTGTGGAATCATCACCACTGTCTATTTCTAAAATTCATCACCCAAAACATAAATTCTGTAATGATTAAGCAATAACTCCCCATTCCTTTCTCCACTACCATTCCCCATAAACTTTTACCTTCTCTCTCAATAAACTTGCCAATCCTAGATAAAGTGGAATCATACCAATATTTGTCCTTTTGTATCTGGCTTATTTCACTTAACAAAATATTTTAAAAATTCATTCATGCAGCATTTATCAGAACTTCATTCCTTTTTATGGCTTTTTATTTCATTCCATGGTATTTGTATACCACATTTTCTTTATTCATTCATCTGTTGATAAACACATGGGTTGTTTCTATCTTTTGAATAACGCTATTATGAATATTGGTATACCAGTATCTAGTTGAGTCTTTTGGGATATATACTTAAAATTGATATATACTTTGTGTATATACTTTGAATTCTTTTGGGTATATACTTAGAAATGGCATTGCAAAATTTGGTTAAGTTTATCCTTTTTTAAAATACTTTTATTGATTTCAGAGAGGAAGGGAGAGGGGGAGAGATTCTACTTTTGGTCCTTAGGTATTAGGCTTCTCTCCAGCAAGTCTTCTGTTGATTAGTAAATGCAAAATTGTACAGTTTTTTAAAATATATTTTATTGATTTTTTACAGAGAGGAAGGGCATCGGTGAGAGAGAAACATCAATCAGCTGCCTCCTGCACATTCCCCACTGGGGATGTGCCCTCAACCAAGGTACACGCCCTTGACCAGAATCGAACCCCGGACCCCTCAGTCCGCAGACTGACGCTCTATCCACTGAGCCAAACTGGTTAGGGCTTATCTTTTAACTTTTTTAAAAAAAATCTTTATTGCTGAGATTACAGATGTCTCTATTTTCCCCCTCCCCTCATAGCTCCCCTCCACCAGTTCCCACCTGATCCCAGGCCCTTGCCACCCTATTGTCTGTGCCCATAGGTAATGTATACATGCATATAAGATCTTTGTCTAATCTCTTCCCACACACCCCCACACCCCTTTCCCTCTGAGAGTCGTCAGTCTGTTCCATTTCCATGCCCCTGATTCTATTCCATTCACCAGTTTATTCTGTTCATCAGATTTTTAGATTCATTTGTTGATAGATATGTATTTGTTGTCACTTTGTTTTCATTAATTTTTTATCTTTACCCTTTTCTTCTTCTTCCTCTTCTTAAAAATACCCTTCAGCATTTCATATAATACTGGTTTGGTGGTGATGAACTCCTTTAGCTTTTTCTTATCTGTGAAGCTCTTTATCTGACCTTCAATTCTAAATGATAGCTTTGCTGGGTAGAGTAATCTTGGTTGTAGGTTCTTGCTATTCATCACTTTGAATATTTCTTGTCACTCTGTTCTGGCCTGCATAGTTTCTGTTGTCTTTGTCTTTTGCCCTTGGCATTTTAATTATGATGTGTCTTGGTGTGGTCCTCTTTGGATTCCTCCTTTTGGTGTTCTTTGTGCTTCCTGGACCTGTAAGTCTATTTCTTTCACCAGGTAGGGGAAGTTTTCTGTCATTATTTCTTCAAATAGGTTTTCAATATCTTGCTCTCTCTCTTCTTCTGCCACCCCCATTATTCAGATGTTGGTACGCTTGAAGTTGTCCCAGAGGCTCCTTACACTATCTTCACATTTTTTATTCGTTTTTCTTCTTGCTCTTCTGGTTGGGTGTTTTTTGCTTCCTCATATTTCAAATCATTGACTTGAATCTCAAGATCTTCTAATCTACTGTTGAATCCCTAAATATTATTCTTTATTTCAGTCAGTGTATGCTTAATTTCTGACTTGGTCTTTTTTCATATCCTCCAGGGCAGCCATGGGCAAACTACAGCCCGCGGGCCGGATCCAGCCCATTTGAAATGAATAAAACTAAAAAAAAAAAAAAGACCGTACCCTTTTATGTAATGATGTTTACTTTGAATTTATATTAGTTCACACAAACAC